GATGGACCTTAAAAATCCTTTGCAGGATTGGTCATTTTCTTGGCATCCAAGAACACAAGAAAAGAGACCTTTGGGATAATACGAGGAACTTCGCCTGTGATCAGGTAAACTTTGGCAAAAGGCTTAGATACGTTCCGAGAAAGGGAGATGGATGTGCTTTGGCCCGAGGCCTATGTTAGACACGCTGCAGAGAAGGCGGCCCTGCCACCTTGCAGGGTTTGGCCCTTGCTGAAAGCAGCATCTGCCCCAGCCTGGTGCCTCCAGATCCCCCCATCATGGTGAAGCAGAACGGGGACCTAATGGTTCCAGGGGTCATTTGACAGACTTGGCAGCAGCGTTGCGGGGACAAACCCTCTGTTTATAGGCACGCAGAGTGAGACGTTTCTCATTGGCCAGTAATCTGCTTGGCCTCAGAATCTCTCTCCTGCTCTCTTGGGAGGCAGCCCCTCTTCTCACACACACGGCCAGCTGATTTTTTTAAGACTCGCTCTGCTTGCAAAGCCAGCCGGACCGTCCGTCCGAGAACCTCTGGGCCTGCTCTGAGACAAAGCCGTGCAGCAGCCTTAGGCCACTCAGATCAAGCCTTCTGAAAAGGCACCAGATTGTTCCTTTCGGATTCATTATGTGTTTTTACTGCCAGGGAGGTGGAGAAACACTTGTGGAAATTTCTACCTCGGGTGCCAAAATAACTTGGCCATCTTTTAGTACCCCGCAGCTAGACTGGCGGGCGGGGCCATCCTTTGCTGCTCTGTTTCCCCGCAGCGAAACGTCTTGCGCTGGCACCAAGTCATGCGGGTCCCCCCTTGCCCCCCCCTGGTAAAGAGGGAAGACGAGCCTGTAGGGGTCACCCAGAATGTCCAGCCAGTTGAAGGGGCTGCAGAATCCCCTCTTATCCTGGTTCCAGTTGCACTTTTAGTGACCTGTCTCAAAATGCACCTGCAGACCGTTGATCCCAAACTCCCTCCCAGCCATCAAAAGCTGTTAAGGAAATGACTTTGATGGTTAACCCCCCCCAAAAGTTTTTGTTACAGTAAGTACTGAAAAACAATTCTAATGCTTTGGGTTTTGCTCTTTTTAAACTGCCTCATGCATCCAGTTGATCCCACTCATGGGCCAAGATTCTGGGCTGGTTCCAGAAATATTATTTTCTGTGTCTTCTTAAACACAGTCTCAGGCTGGTCTCCTTTTGAACAAGAGGAGAAATGCAAGAAGGTCGCTCCGTTGAGGTCTGCCGTGTGGGGAAACCAGGTTCTGATTTACCTGCCCAGAAGTAGGGGGGGGGAGGGCTGGCAGTTGGGAAGGGGGGGATGCGAAAGGCATTTTATTCCTGGGCCCGGGAAAGGGGCGGGGGCACGTTACCTGCGCCCTCTGGAAATCCACGCTCGGCGCCTTCCCTTTAAATAGTAATAGCAACAGTAACAGTAACAGTAATAATCTGGGCACGACCAAGCCTTCTCCTTCAAGGAAGAGGGCGGCTCCGGGGTCCCGCGCCCCCGAACAAGCGCAGCCCTCCCCTCCGGGGGGCAGGCGGG